ATGGGCTTTTTTTTAGTATTACCGCACAGCAAATCTACTCATCATATTAGAATAATGTATAGTAAAAATAAGTAGATGATTCTTTTTTTATTTGAATTCTTTATATTCATAGAATTCAAATAAAAAAGTTTTCATCGAATTCGATCAGATGGTTGTCGAGATTTCTTCGCTCAAAGTTTTTTTTTAAAAAAATTGGCGCAGCTTCTTTTGATAGTTTTTAAAAACTTTGAGCAAGAATATCTCGACATCTACCTGATAAAATTTGACGAAATTTTTTTTTTTTTGATTATGTGTTTAGAAGATTTAAATAAAAAACTTCATCGAATTTGGTCTGGTAGTTGTCAAGATATCTTTGCTCAAAGTTTCAAAAAATTATTTTGATAGGCGGTTTGATTTTTTTTTTAACTTTGAGCAAAGATATTTCGATTACCACCTAACCAAATTCGATGAATTTTTTTTTATTCGAATCTACTAAACTTATATAATCAAAATAAAAAAAAATTATCGAATTTGGGCAGGTGGTTGCTGAGATATCTTTGTTCAAATGGTTTGTTTTTTAAGAGGGTATGGTTATTAAATGTGGGGGGTATGAAAATTGGTCCCCATTAAAAAAATGCATTTAATTTTTTTTAATCGCTAATTCTTCATTTATTTTGTTTACTTCTAATTTATTATGGTCATAATAACTCCGAGAGACGGACATGCCAAAAATTTACTTTATTTAAAAAAAAATATATTACGTGCAAGCAGATTATAGTGAAAGATTGAAATCAATTAAAGCTTTAATTTGCTTCATAGTTTAGGCAGATTCAAATCGATCAAATACCCATAATATTCAAGAATGGGGTCCTGTTTCTGTTTAAAATTCCGATTAAAAAGGCGCATCCGGTAATAAAAAATTGGCTTTTGATAAATATCTACCGACAAGCAATTATGCAAATAAGTACATGCTTTTGAAAAAAATAGATTCATAGACCATTCATTTAGAAATAAATACATCGCTTATTTTATCAGAAATCGGACGTCAAATCATTAATTCTGAAACCCAAAGCAAGCTAGGTTAAACAGCTAGATATGGTTAATTGTTGAAAATTTTTTTAGACGGTCTCAATAAATAAATAAAAGTTTTAATATAAATTATAAAATACAATTTTCTATTTTACGAATCTTTCAGGAGCTTACGTACTGAATAATCCCAATTATGCATATAATTCAAAGTTTGGATGTTGGCCCTTCAAAATCCCTTATGTTTGTAAACCAAAAAGCTTTATTTAATTAAGCACCCGTGCGTGTCGATCAAGATAAATTTGGTTGTATATAATACTGTAATATCCCGCAACCAGGGTTGGCAATTGAATTCAATGGTACTACGAATGGAGTCAATGGAGCTTTGGATGGAGCTAATGGATACTAGCTTTTTTGAGCTCATTCACACAACCATTGAGCTCCATTGGCTCCATTGCCAACCCTGCCCGAGATTTGGAGTTTGTATCACTAGATGATCTTTCAAAAAGTTCCACCAATTCATCTTATGGTTTTTTTTAAAGCTCACATTAATGAAAGTTTAGCAAAAGTTATGAAAAAAAAATTCTTTCGCTGAAAAGATCAACAATTTAAGGTGTTCACGAGCATTTCACTCAATAGATTGGAGGCAAATTTTCAATTAGCTAAAAATTGAATAAACTAACAAGTGGGCTACAATTTTGATGAATAAGATCTGGAGGTACAGACTATCTTTTTTTTTCATTGGAAATCTACATGTTGCGTAATGAATTTTTAACAAGCCGCTCTTTGAGGGTGCTTTCAAGCACTAAATCAATAGGTCAGTGCTCAATTTTAATTAGTAGAAAATAATTTAGCCGGTTAAGCGAGTTTATTATCGTTACGGCATGTTTTTATATCTGCAGAGATAACTCGTAGTTTACAGCAACTAAATTCATATAGTTGAATTTAAAACTTAAGATGTATACATGCTAAGCGGAACTTATGATTAATGCAATCAATATGACCCTTTCTTTTTCTTGGGTAGTTTGAAGAACAGTTAGCTCAGTGATCAACATAATATCACATAACTATCGTTCGGCCTAGGTTAGGGTTAGGGTATAGCTTAGGCAGCCAGTTTAATTCTGGTAAATAATAATGTCATGATACGTATGATCGTCGATCACTGGACTAACTATTCTTCAAGCCAGAATACCCCGACACAGTAAAACCATCATCGGATGAAATAATAATGAGTTTTTGCAGGCTTTTTTTGGTAGCATATTAAGTCCCTGGCATTTCAAGATTACGCAACTAAATATAAATTATTTTTTATTTATTTTTACTATTAAGAAATTAAAGAAATTAGGCATAGTAGTAAGTAATATTTAAAAACACAGTATTTAAATAATTATTAATTAATTAAAATTTTCAATAATTATCATTATGATATGAAAATTAAATGTTTTCATTAGGCTCTTCTATGTTAATTTCAGTTTCACTATCATTAACAATAACTTTACTTGCATAGATACGAGCTAAATAATTATAAGTACCGAACTCTAATAATTCTTTTTCCGATGCTTTAACCAACTCATCAAATTCTTCATTAGGAATTTGCAATATTTTTAATAAAGCAGATTTAAAACTTGCATACGCGGTAACCATATTACTGATAGCCTGTTTATTTCATATCGTATTAAAAATTTTTTAATCTTATAAAACATGAAAACAATGCAGTTTGTTTAATACATTACCACTTCACTAAGCTTGATATTATTAGACTTTATACCATAATGGCATGGTCTTATTTCTTTCTTAATATTTTCTAATTGACCTAATTTAGAGTGAATTATTATTATAATTTAAATATCTACAAAAAATTACAATATGTGTTATATAAAGAAGAAGAAAACCTTGGTTTTGTATATAGCCATCTAAATTTTGAAATATATCACCATCTAGGCCTCGTTGATCTAATATTTCTACTTCTTCATAATTATTTATTTTATTGAAAAAAGCATGTAAGTAAAGAACAAAACTATAAGATAACTTTAAGTACGTACCAGCATCAAACAAACGTTGTGTTGCTGGTCCTAAATCAAACATTTTAGAAGGCTCGCATAACTTTTGTAAAATAAAATAAATTAATCATCGCAATTATTAAAATATAACAACAACTTTTAAATAAGCATACTTCTAAGAATCCACCCGGTTTTAAAACTCTAATTATCTCATTTATTAAATATGGCCACCTGTCCTTGGGACATCCAGTGAACATATATCGTTGAAATACAAAATCAAAAGTATCATCTTCAAATGGTAATCTTTCCAGAACATTTGCTTTAACGAATTTGAAATTTTTAGGTTTTATTTGTGTCGGTAGTAATGGGGATAAATCTAACCCAACAACCTCAACCAAAGGATATCTAAGAAAATATTATAAATATTAATAATCGCATTAATAATTGTAATATAGATATTGAAAAATAATTATTCTCAATTATGCCTCAGACATTATAATTCAGATTCGTGTAAAAGATTAAATTACCTACGTACGTGGATGCCACATCAAATGACCAGGACCCTGCGCCACACCTAAGATAGAATATAAATATTAAACAAACATTTGCAAGATATTAAATTTTTTTTTTGTCAAACATAGTGGTAAATTGAGTTTATATGATAATTAAAGTAATTTAATTTAGAATCTCTAAAGGAATCAACACACTTTATGTTGTATAATTGAATTATTTATATAGAGTTTTAAGGTATGGCAAATTTAAAGAATTAAATTTAAAATTTTCGTAACCGAAAATTAGATGAATCTAGTTGAATTTTATAATGATAGATTTTGAGAACATAAAATAACCATAACTTATATTCGTTGAACGGAATTACTTAATTACATACTGTAGTAATATTTACATACCCAACATCGAGGATTTTGCTACCCGGATTAGATAAAATCTGATTGATTGGTGCAGAAAAGTTGCTCTGCCAGATATATCTTATCAAGAAATGTTGTAAGTGTAGTCTGTCTAATTCATTGTCATCGTTTGGTAAAGGATATATCGCATTTTCCACATTATGAAATCTTCTACCATCAATGTATTGAAATTCGGTCGAAATGTCAGTTTGTGCATTTTGCGAGTCTATAGACTTCGATTGCTCGCTTAATTTAGACGAGAAACATCCCATGTCAATGTTATTTTATGACATTTACGTAAGATTTATTAAATAATATGAAAAATCGAATTTTTTGCTTTTTTTGCAAATAAATATTAAGAAATATATAAATTTTGATAAATATTTTAGCGTTTAGAAATTTTACAGATGATTCTGAAAGTGTGTTGATTTGTTTATAAGTTAACTATCGCTATATTTACTATTTGTGTAACTGGCGATACAAATTTTACCGCGAACCACATTATTAGATGTGCATACAAACAAACCTTTGATATTGCTGCCAATTCGTTTAAACTATAAAATTTAAATATAACCCGATATATCTGTATATTTACGCATAGTTGAATAAAGGAATTGAATTTAAAATCTAGATATCCTAAAATTTTGTGATGTGCAACAATGAAACAGCATAGTTGGCTAAATTAAGATTTATTTGGTTTTATTGTAATACTTAAGCTGTTACGAAACTTTACTATTTGGATTGACCTGACCAATTTTATATAATATTTTAAAAATAATCGCCCATTTAGTGTGTACTATGGATTTGTAATTACGGAGTACCATAGGTTCATAAAACAACATGTTTTACGGTGTACCATAGGTAACAAAGTGCATTTTTGCGTTTAGTGTTTTAGTGTTTTAAAATTCTAGTGTTTTGGTGTATTGGTGTTCTAGAGTTTGCGTTCTAGCGCCGTACATTGTTGTTCTACGTACTACATAAATTGCATCCTTGATATCTACATAAAGGGTAATCATAGCTGCATTTAAAAAATAGCTTTATCCGATTATACTTCTGGAACTTGATTCTTTCTGCATATATCGAATCTTCATTAGAACGAGTTGTACTAGCTTTTTAAAAAATTACCAAACAACTAAAATGTTAGAGCATTAGAACATCAACATATTAGAACATTAGAACATTGAAACATTAGAACATTAAAACACTAGAACATTAGAACATAAAATGTTAGAGCACTAGAACATAATGCACTAGAGCACTAGAACACCAAAACACCAAAATACTAAAACACAAACACGGACTGAGTTTGTTACCATATTAGGGGGGGCAATGTATGCCTAAATTCAGATGGATTTACGGCATTGCGACATGCCGATATTTTTTATATTTTCGGCTTTTTGGCTGCCGAAATTACAGCTGCCGAAAATGTTTCAATTGCCATAATTGCCGGAAATGTTTCGGTTGTCAAAAAGTCAACTAGTAATTTATTACAGTAAAATCAAGGTCAGATGCAACTTAATATCGAAACAGAACTACATTTTTTACAGTATAAAAAAAAACAGAATGTTCTAAAATTTAATTAAAAGGCCACTTTTTTCCTTGCAAAATTCACCAATAGAACCTGCATTATTCTAACCCTAATTCTAACTATAATGCGATTTAATTTTACACGAAACTTCTTACATGTGCGTTTTGACTACCACATTACACCTGATCTTGTTAAATATTAAATAGGTGAAAAATTTTGTAATATATATTGAATTCCCATACGTACATTGAAAAGTGGTGACTACTCGTTTGAATGCCAAAACTAACCAAACTTCTATACTAAACAACCAAATTACAACTATAATACTCCTAAAACCTTGAATTGGCAGGTTGAAAGAGGCGTGGAGAGACTTGGTCCGAATCTCAAGATCTTTTGAGTCTTTTGAGTATTGAACCTAGGTGCCGCACAAAAAATGCGCGGCAGATCCTCGATTTTGATTGGCTAAGAGCAACGATCAAAAAATTAGGCCGGAATTATAATGAAATCGCAGCCGCCCATTAAGTGAAAATTGTTCCTGGGCCAATTTTACCATAATGCGGGCTTATTTTGTAATGAAAAAATTAAAAAGTAAATTCCGGCCAGAAATTAGTAAACAATGATGTAATGCGGGCCAAAATTTTGAAGATCCTCAGCCGTTAGTCAATCAAAATCGAGGATCTGCCGCGCATTTTTTGTGCGGCACCTAGGGTTAATCTTTTGAGTCTTACTGCGGTGATATTGGAGTTTAAGATAAGTATAGCTTTGAATTATACCTTTTATTACTTGGTTGTAGGCCTCAGCTGGAATCTAAAGATAACTCTTTCTCTTAAGTTTCAGCTCAACGATATTTTGGTATTCGACTTCAATCGTTAAGGGTGTTCTCAAGCGCCTTAATCAATGGGGCAAAAAGCGTCGGGAAATAAAATTTATTTAGCGGAAAATAGTTT